AAGTCAGCAAAGTAAACTATAGCGATGAGCTCACGGTGCCAAGGCCTAGTTATGTTCCATTTTAGTGGGTAAATCAGTTTCTTAGCTGTGTCGTTACTGATACGGTTGTTTGGGTAACATCGTATTATAAGGGGCTTCCCCGAGCATGTCAGGACTCTGGGCAGTAACCCCATCTTCTACCCACCACACATACCAGACGCCAGCACCAACTCTCCTAAGTACTGCCTGAAAAAACCAGGAAAGTCTAGGCATTACCCACTGATGCTCCTTATGGTATATAGGAAGTTGGTATATAAGTCAAGTTGGTGCCAACTTGACTCCAGCTGAGAACTACAGATCAAGATTAAGTCTTAATTCAGTGAAATTACAGAGTGGCTCTTCAGCCTCAGCACCCTCAGACCTCAAAACCTGTGAGAGATCTGCGGAGGCCTGGGAGAGAGGGGTCAGTATGCTTGTCCCCTGCAGGTCTCCACTGCAGCCGGCTTCCCTTCTCTGCTTCAGTTACTCAAGGGCTCAGAGAGGCTGAAGAAATGGAAGTTAGCTTCTCTGTACAACAGGCAAGTTCATGTGGACTCCTTCACCGCCCCGTGACAGGAGGAGGAGGAGGTGACCAGCCATGAGGCCTGACCGCTATGAGCAGAACTGGTACACTTTGCAGGGTGCAGATGGGGCCAGGTGGGCACACAGCGGAAACCAGCCCTGCAGCCGGAATCACCAGCTTCCCACTCCCAGAATGGGACAAATGGCTTTTCTTGCTTATACGATAGGCAGCTTATGGTATTTTGTTATACAAGCCTGAATAGATTAAGCAAGGAGAACACAAAATGTTAAGGTTATAGATGAGGTTAGGATTCTAGCTATGGGTGCTGTGAAGGACCAGATACTGAAAGGACATTTGGGAAAGGGGTACTGTGCGATGTACTTAGAAATATTCCTTGCATTATAGAAAGTTGATGTAATACATGCTTAAGACTGGCAGCCGATAAGAATACATTTACCTTATTTTTTTAATATGGATTTATTTATTTTTATTTTTGCAGAACCAGGGATTGAACTCAGGCCCTTGCACTTGCCAGGGAAGCGCTCATCCCACAGAGCTATCCCCCCGGCCCCATTTTTATATGTATTTTGTAGAGGCTCTACACGGTCTCACTACACAGATTCTACTCAGAGTGATTCTCCTGTTTCCAGCCACCCATGTGCTGGGATTAGGGGCGGGCACCACCACATCCGGTCTCAATCAAACTCTCAGCATGCCTCAGGGGTGGGGCTGGCATGGCACGTTGGGGATCGAACCCCAGTTCCTGTGCCTGCCTAAGGAGGTGCTTTAGTCTGCTGAGCTAGCTGGCCGGCCCTACATTTACTTTATTATAACCACAAGAGTAAAATCAAGGGCAAGTACCCTCTCGCTAAGGCGGGCTCTGTCTGGCGCTCAGAAGCTCTGGAAAGGTGCTGACTTGACTTCTCTCAGTGCACTCTGAAAAACCGAGCAGTGAGGAGATGCACCCCCAAGAGGGGATCTCAGATAAAGAGCTGCTCACGTTTGACCTGGGCAATTACATAAACTGAAATTACAGTCACTTCTTATTGATCATATCTGATGGTCATCAACTCAGGTTGAATGAGGAAGGTGGACTTTCTGTAATTTGCAAACAAGATAGCTTAAATGAAGGCATAAAACCCCCTCTACATTTACCTTCACATCATCATTATGAGGAGTACGGCCAGAGGAAAAGGTTGCCAGCTCAAGAGCGGGTAGCCATTTAAATCACTTGTAGTTGATTTAGGGGGTAGTCATACACTCTACCACCACCGGTATGGCTAGTGGTGAGAACAGAAAGACAAGTGCCTCAGTTACTCTTCTCTTGTTGCTGGGACAAATACCGGACACCCAAAATGAAGAAAGGAAAGGTTTATTTAGCTGCTGTTACTGAAGATTTCAGTCCATACTCAGCTGGCTCCAAGGCAGGGTGGCACACGGCAGAGAGCAACCTCTCATGGTGGCAGCAAAGAGCAAGAGAAGCTAGCTTCTCTTCCCTCCTTACATTGAAATGCAAATTACCTGCCCCAGGGAGGTGCAGCATCTACACTCACAGCAATTAATCACAAACTCCAGAAGCCTCCCCAAGATTGCAGGAGGTTTTGGGGGGATACTTAGACACAAACCATAACATCCTGCCCCTGGACCCCCAAAGACTCACGCACATCCCTTTATGCAAAAGACATTCTAGTCCATCTCTGAGTTGCCAAAGTCACAACAGTTTCAGCATTGCTGAAAAGTCCAAGTCCTAAGTTTCCTCCAAGATCCAAGGCAAACTCTACTGTGAGCCCCTATACAAATGAAAACTTAAACACTTGCAACATTCAAAGGCACAAGATAAACACTGCCATTCCAAAAGGTATACACAGGAGGATACAAACCATTGGGGCCAAAGCAAGTCCAAAATGCAGCAGGGCAAACATTAAATCCTGTAGGTCCTTGTGGAACATGCAAAGCTAACTGTGCCATATTGTGAGCTCCACGTGGCTCTGCCCTTATGGCACTTCTGGTGGTTGTAGCTCCCGTGGCTTCTCTCTTAGGCTGGCTTTGCTCTCTCCTTGCAGTTTCCCTTAGATGATGATCCACATTCCTGGCTTTTCCAAACTTCTGGGGTTTCCACTGAATAGGCTTCTCTCTTACAGCTTCATACACTGCCCTCTCAGGGGCACACCGCCTGGCCTCTCAGGCCTTCTTCTGAAATCGAGGAGGAAGCCTTCTTAACCTCAGAACTCCTGCATTCTGCATGCACCTAAAACCAGTGCCACGTGGATGATGCCAAGGTCCGCTGCTGGCTGGAGCAGTAGCCAGGCTTTCTTCTGTCTTGGCTGTAGAGGTTGAGTGCCTAAATCACTGAGCACTCTGACCCTGATTCCCAGGAACAAATTCTCCACAACAGTGCCATTCTGGAACCTGGTGTGGCCACAGCCGCCACTCCGAAACATGGGGCTGTGGCTTTCCCCTCAAGGCAGTTTCTGAACTTTGCAATTCTGAGGCTGCAAAGCATTTAGACCTGCCACCTCCTGTGATGCCCTCAGGCCATCCTTTCCATTCTCAGGTTCCTTCCCAGCAATGGAGATCCTCTCAGCTGTCTTTGCAGTCCACAGCTTAATTGGAGCTTCCTTTATGGCCAGATTCACATTTTAAATCCTACTGCTGGGCTCCTTGCTCTTCACTCTCAACATAAATCCGGCTAAAAGCCCCCACCAACAACCAGGCCACTGCCCCAACATTGGATGCTTTGAAGTATCTTTTGTCAGACTGATCAGTCTGCCATGCTTAAACTCAGTCTCAGGCAAAGTCTCTGGACACGAGCAAAATGCAGACAACTTTTCTGCCAAGTCAGAACACAAATGATCTGGAGTCCAACAACCAATGCAGTCCTTTTTCCTAGCAGAAACCTCCCCACTCTGATCTTTACAGGCTGGCTTTCTATCAGCCTTCTGAACCCTGACCAGAATCTCCCCTACAGAAGAGCTGAAGTGGTTCTAGCTCTTCACAAGTAGGGAATATCTCCAAAACTTTCCTATCTCTTCCCATCAGCCATCTCCAAAAACTCATAATTGATACGGTCAGGTTTAGCCACAACAACCCCACTCCTGGTACCAAATTCTGTCTTACTCACTCTTCTCTCATTGCTGGGACAAATACCCGACACTCAAAATGAAGGAATGAAAGGTTTATTTAGCTCACAGTTACTGGCGGTTTCAGTCCTTATTCAGCTGGCTACAAGGCAGAGTGGCACAAAGTAGAGAACAACCTTTCATGGTGGCAGCAAAGAGCAAGAGCATAAGGGAGGGGTAGCAGCAGCTCAAGCAGCCAGCTTCTCTCCCCTCCGTACATTGTAATGCAAATTATCTGCCCCAGGGCAGGTGCAGCATCCACACCCGCAGTAATACATCACAAACTCCAGTAGCCACCCCAAGACTGCAGGAGGCTTTGGGGGGACATCTATACACAAACTATAATATTCAGCCCCTGGACCTCCAAAGCCTCAAGTATAATCTATAAGATTATACTTTAAACTCATTTGAAAGACTTCTGAAACGCTGAACAAAGAGAACTTTATAAAGATTAACATTAGTTCTTTCATAATGTATTCTCCTTTATCCTTTTTTCTTAGCAACAACAGGCAAGAAACCAAAATAAATGCATATAAAATAGAAATTGATCTTTCTAAAGCACAGCAATTCTGAGAATGCCCAGTAATATTTCTTAGGTGAATTTCAGCACCCATTATAAATGAAAAACCTACTTGGAAGAAACTGGACATTAAAAGCTACAGTGTTTCCACATGTAAAACTCTCGAGGAAAAAAAAAAGTGCCGTAGTATAGCTTAGCTTTTCTGCTGGACTTCCGAAGACCTTTATCTCTACCATCAAGACTGTAATTTTGTGTTTTTCAAACTTTCTTTGTAAAAGGAAGTGGAACAAAGCATTCTAAGCCTTCTCGCCATTACATTTCATATTCTCCCTCTTGTTGGCCATTTCTTCCTAATGCCGGGGCTGTTCACATTTCTTTCCCACACATAACCTTCCCCAAAGGCACTTTGTGAGGCTGCATGCTAACATTACCCAATCAAGCTCTTGAAGAATGCCACACGCTGTTACAGAAATCACCTGATTCAGACCCTCTGACACCCAGCAAGTCATTTCTTGCTGAAGATGGTTGCAAACCCATTTGTCATACAGTCTGTTGGGTCTCACCCTAGCTTGTACACAAGGTGTGAAGATCACACATGGAGGGGACATGGGAGCAATCACAGTGAAGTGAACAGGACCCAAGACAGAACAGTGTGCCTTGTTCTGGAAGCTGAGCAAGCACTGGCCTCTGCCTGAAGAGGGGAGCACTATCGTCTCCCCCACAGTTCACTGCCCTGTTTGTAGTCAGTCTCCCCCAGGGAACCTTCACCAATTAGCACTGGGGAACACAGCACCCGCCCACCACCACCCTGCATGCCTACCTTGTGGCTTTGGACTTGGAGCGGAGCGTCTCGCTGGTGTCTTCCCATTTATTCCCTGAGCCTCTTCAGACACATTGTGGTCAATCAGCGTGGTCGTGCTGCTTGTCGGACACAGTGGAACCAGGGTGACCTTTGGGTAAACACTGTTGCCTGTGAGTTCAGAGACAAAGGGAGGTCAACGGACAGAAGAACACAGCGTTCCAAGTTACTCTGCTCCTGACTGTGCATAACCACAGCTAGGTGTAGACATGGGCTTCCCTTGTGAGGCACAGGGACATGGGCTGCTCTTAAGCCTCAAAGGGCCGACGCAGCAGCTGCACATCTGTGAGGAGAGGGCAGGCGGGGCCCAGCGCTAATCTGTCAGCAGCAATTCTCCCCAGTGTCCACTGGATGCGGTCACCTGGCATCCAGTGACTCGAAAGGACAAAGCGGGAGAGTACCAATGTGACAGCTGACCCAGAGAGGAGACACTTCTTGCCCAGGGGCTCACGCTCTGCGCAGCTGCATGAGAGATGCTCTGTGCCCGCCTGCTCCCCAGAGGGAAGGCTGAGGCTGGACAAGAACAACACTGAGCTTATTTAGACCTCAGAGCCTGGAAACAGCCTTAAAACACAGAAATCTCAGAGGAGGGGGGAAAAGATCTGGCCGTGTCTGTGTAAGAAGTTACTAAGTTCAGTTGTGGACTTTGAAAACATCATTTCAGTGTTTGCTCTTCTACGTATACATTTCCCACTCCTGTAGCTGGCCTGGGGACATCAGCAATGGCTTGAACGCTGCCTGACAGAGAATAAAACTTCTACCAGGAAACCACTGGAGGAGTCGGAGCGGGACAGCTAAGAAGTTTTCGTGTGGAGCTGGGCCTGGTGCTGCATGCCTGTAACCCCCACACTTGGGAACCCGAGACAGGAGGATTCCAAGTTCAAGTCCCTCTTGGGTAATCCCGCAAATCTGCTTCAAAATGAAAAATCTGTGTAGCTCAATGATACAGCACCCTTGGGTTGAATCACAGTAACAAAACACAAACAAACATCGATTGGTTAAGAAACAGGTTGTTCTGTTTGTTACTATGGGCCTGCAGTTTGAACCCAGGGCCTCCAGATTCAGATATGTTTTTTTTTTTTCTTTATTTTGAGATAGGGTCTCATAAATTGTCTAGGCTGGCCTCAAACCTGCATCCTTCTGCCTCTGCCTCCCAGAATAGTGGCAGTGTAGAATTCAAAACAGCTAGAAAGAAAAGTGTCTGATTATCCAAATATTTAATTACCAAATGGGGTTTTAAGGCAAGTAAAGCTGCTTTAAAAACTAATCACTATCTATTGAGCCAACATGTTTCCCTCAATCCAAATAATTAAATAAGATCGAGATTCACATTGTGTGTGCCTGCTTCCTTCACAATTTATCTTGTTAAAATGATTTTGGAAAATATTGACAGTTCCAAGTGCTGCCTGAGAACTTTTTAGAGCTGGTATAAAATACGGACTAAATGAGCTTTTAATGGTAAAACTGTACATCTGTCAGCTTTGTTAAGCATTCCTTGCTCGGAAAGCAACAGCTATGAAGATTAATTCACAGAATGTTATTCAAATTGGAAACTGAAGAAATAAAGCTCAGATCTTTAAATCTCTGAGTTTAGATATCCACTCAGAAAAATTGAGAGGCAGCAAAATGTGCCCCTAAAACCACAGCCCATGGAGCAACCAAGTGAGCTTTGAGAGGAATTTGGGTGTTTTGTCCACAGCAAGCCCAAGAACAGCTGAGCATTCCAAAGATCGCCGATTGGCGCTGGTGAAGGATGGCGTGGCATTAGAACTGGCAAAACTCAACCCAAATCCAAGGAAGGCTTGAGCTCTGCTGCACATAGATAAGTAACTGAAGCAAGACCACAAAACTAACGTGCTGAGGGCCAGCAATGTAGCTCAGTGGCACAGCTCTTGCCTGGCAAGTGCAAGGTCCTAAGTTGGACTCCTGGTAGGAAACCACAAAACAAACCAAAACTAACATGTTGGGAAAAAATAAACAAAACAACAACAACAAAAACCAACTGGTTGAAAGAGAAGAAGGTTGGGCTTGGGAGATAGCTTGGTGGTCTAAGTGCCTGCCTGGCAAGTGCAAGGACCAGGGTTCGATCCCCGGTACCACATGCTGTGCTGGCCATTGAAACCAGGTGTGATGTCACATGCCTGTAATCCCAGTGCTGCGGAGGCTGAGGCAGGAGGATCCCTACGAGTTGGAACTGTGTAGTGTGATCCTTTAGCAAATAAAGAAAAGATTTTGTAAAAAAAAATTTAAAAAGACAAGGTCACCACTGCCAGATGTTAACACATGAAATAAGTTACAAAATAATGTTTCTTCAGGAACAAAACAAGCCTCAGAAAAAATATTTATTTCAAATTGAAAATGAGGCCCATAATTTCTGGAGAGCAACTTTTACAAGCACAGAAGGTTTTACAAAGGTCACATTTATAGAGAGTAACTCTTGGACCAGGGGTATAGCTTAGTAGCACAGTGATTGCCTGGGAGCACAAGGTCCTGAGTTCTAGTCCCTGCACCAAAAAAGATGAAGCATATTCACTGATGTGTCAAAATGCTGAGACTTCAACCGCATATTTTCTTTTTCTGCATAAATTCCTGAAGGTCAAGACTCCCAATGTTTTGCCAGTGTTACTAAGGCTTCAGTCAGAACCATTACTGCAGACCACTGTTCAAATAAAGCAAACGCTCGAATCCTCAGTGCTGTCACGAAACAGGCACACACACAGTGAAAGACAGAGAACACTCACATTTTAAAAGCTTGCTTAGAAGAAAATCAACAGCAAATATAGTGGAGATCACTGTGCCTCCTTGACCTTGCCCCCCCCCAAAAAAAATAAAGGTATCATCTAGCCTTTTACAGGAAATCTGTGGGCCACTGGTACAGGCCAAGGCACATCACGGTAAAGAAATTGTGCCTAAAACAAGCAGCAGTTCATGAAACACGCCATCCACTAACATCTTGGATACCAGCAATAAAAATAAAACTGCTTGTTTGGGAGTGACTCAGCCTGCACACTCCGGCAGACAGTCGTTCTTTGAGTATGGACTTCCTAACAGGGAATTGAAAGCAAAATCATAACCAGACAGTCTCAGCCGTAGGAGTCGTCGTTCCAAGTGATCAAGAAGCACCAGTGACTTACACTTCCACAGCTATGTGGGCATAGGCCTAACTCATCACCACGTGTGGGTCAGCACGGCAGGGGGCGCCCTTTAAATCCTGGCTCCAAGCCATCATGCACTGTCTGTAAGACCAGCGCTTAGGGTCGAGGCTTCTGCCTTCTGTAGGAAAGGCTGGACATGTGCAAGCCTTGGACAGCCCCAGTCACTCCAGCACTGCCTGCCAGCAACGCGTCTGCTCCCAACTGGCAGGAGGCCTGAGGCCAGGCTCCCAACCTAGGCTCCCTGTTGCCACGTTCATGTGCCTGTCACCTGGCCTTCTGAGTGGCAGGTATTCTTTTCTACTGTTTGCAGCACATCATGTTGGGAGTCTTGAGGCTCTTTCAATATTCCAGACAAAGTTGCCCAGACCTGACCTCTTGCCTGGGGCTCTGTGACCTGGGATTACACCTTGATGACCTTGGGTGTGGCCCTGGTTATGGTTAAACAGCTTTCTCCTCTTCCCCTACCCCCTAGCACTGGTTCTCCAGCTGAGAGGAAAGCAGACTGTACCCCAAGATGAGGGGTCTCTGGGACTGAAGAGACCAGAAATGGTGGTCTAGGAGAGATGCTATTTCAGGGATCAACTGTCCAGAAGTAGACATAATTTTATCTTTTTTTTTCTGGGGGCTTAGCCCACCCTGGGGGCGGAGCTGGTGTGGCATATGGTGCCAGGGATTGAACTGTGGTCCCTGTACCTGCCTAAGCAGGCGCTTTGGCCCGCTGAGCTATCTCGTTGGACCCCAGAAGTAGAGATAATTAAAAAAAAAAAAAAAAGTCACTTTATTTTAAAATGTTAGGTTTATACAGGCGCCGTACCGACATTTCCTTATAACCATGGTACAGAAATAACATATCTTATATCCACCGCAACCACTGCACGTTTAACAAAACACTGCCGCAATAGTAAATGACAGCTTTTAATCTGACTTCACCTATTTTTCCACCAGCTTTTTTTTCCATTACAAGGTACAACACAGATAGCACACTGCTTTACCTCCTCGGCGTGCTCACCCTGGGCGGCTCCTCTCAGCTGGTCTACCTCCCGTGAGCCTGGCACCCTTGCATCTCAGCAGCATGACTAGCATGATGGGGACAAGGGCATACGACATCGCCCTACTAGTGTCAAGCGTGCAGTGATTCCCCGAGGGCTAGGACTGCCCAGGATCCCAAAAAGATAAACGATTCTATTTCTATCAGATACCTACAACAGTAAAGTCATAAAGACAGAAACTAGAAGGCGGTTGCTGGGAGCTGGCAGGTACCATTTCTTAAGTCTAATTTGCTTGGTAAGAAGACACTGGACTGTGTGGGTGGATGGTGGTGACAGGAACATAACCATGTGAACAGATCTGACACCACTAATACACTTTAAGAAGGTGCTGGTAGCAGGTTTTTATGTATTCTTCTCAATTAATTTTTTTTTTTTTTTTACAAATTTAAAAGATGCGTACTACACAATGAAGAAGAAAAATCAAGACACACCAAGTTTTCCTTATCTCCGAGATTGGAAAGAATCCTCTTAAGAGCTCTTTGACCCCAAAGTGCTGCTCAGGGGTGCACTGGGCTCTGTCCCCTCCTGCCCAGCTCACATGGCTCAGCCAACTTAGCCCATCTAGGCCTTCTGACACTTGGGGTCCCTGTGTGCAGCCCCGCTGCAGGTCTCCACCCAGCTGCCGGGCTTGTGCACGCCCCGCAGCCCTGCATCTCCATTGGTGGGGCATCTGACATCTGGCACTCCAACTCCAAGCCCCGCTTCCCAGCTGTCTCCCCACGCCACAGCCCCTCTAGTCTTCTGCACCTCTGCAGCTCCATCTGTGCCTGTGCAAAGCCCAAGAAGCACCTGGAAGCCCTTTCTCCCCTCTTCTGCACAGCCGCTCTGTCAGGAAGCTCCGCTGGCTCTGCCTTCAAGTATTTCTAGGTGGGGGCTGGTGAGATAGCTCAGTGGACTAAGAGCCTGC